AGGAACAGCATAGCTTCCGTCAACATCAGTCACACACCACAAACCTACTGATTACACGAGGTAGTTGGACGGAAGTGGCGGATGCTGGAGTCGGAGTTGTTGTCATATATCCGGACTTCTCCAAAGATTGCGAACACCTGGATCACCGCAACCTACTACATTGGCTACAGACCTACGGAATCGGAGATCCTGTACTTGGTTGGATTGGAAACTTTCTTCACCAATGGAAGGTTCAAGTTCGCGTTAGGGGATCACTCTCTAATCAATTGAGGTGCAATGTAATGTCCCACAATGTTTAGTGCTGGGATCGTGCTTACTCCTGGTGTTTATCCACGACCTGGTAATAGTTATCCCCTTAACTTTTTTGTTATTCGTCTACGGTATCATGATGTGGCGGTGATTAGTAACAACGAAGATAAAGATCTATTTCAACATGACTTAATTTGCATTTATATGTGCTCGGCGAGGAACGTGTTACACTTGCATATAGCTAAATGCAAGTTGATCCATCTTCATCACCAGCCGGAGAGTGTCTGCATGTTTGCAGACCACACCTTGGAGAAGGCCTCTCAGGAGCGTGACCTGGGTGCACTTGTACAGGAAGATCTCAGGTGTTCAAAACAAGCAGAGCAGACGTCGAAAATCAGCAAGCAACACTTCGGTCTTATTCGCAGAGTGTTCGGTCGGTTGGACCACTCAATCTTTCCCAAATTACTTAACACCTCCGTGCGACGGCACGTGACATATGCTATCCAGGCATGGCAACCATGCCAGAAACTGGATCTCGATTTTCATGAGACTGCTTAACTAAGAGCAACCAAGAACGTCAGTGACCTCTGTTCTGCCGTGTTAGCTCTATGAAAGTACAGCAGTCGATACCGGCGTTTACCGGATTCTGTAAAACTCAAACCACGTTTGCCGTCCACTACTGGAATTGAATCAGAACAGTAACCTAAACGGCCATCCTCTGAAACGGCAGTACAGTAATACCAGACTTGAATGACGTAGGAATTTATTTTTTCTCTGCAGGTCCCGACCTTGGAACACCCATTCTATTTATGTCGTCTCTGCTCCCAATCTAGCGATATTTATAATACGAGTTGACGATTCGTTATCACGTTTTAATTTAATTTTAGGAGTTGTTAGCCAGGGGCTACAAAGCGTAATCCAACGGTGTCTTACCAAACTTTCAACCAACGGACATATACTTTTAATACGCGAACACTTCCGCTGTTCTATATAAGTCTATGGTGTACCACAAAAAGGCTTTTTAATAATGCAATTTGATTTTTGCAATTATTTCCATTCAACGCGACTTGTTAAGTACTGCTTTTTTACCCCTAATACACCATTGTTCCACCACTGTTACCTTGCTTCAAAAAATCATTTGATTGCATCTCTCGCATGGCCGCTTAGACAGATTGCCGTTTTGCTTGAGAAATAAACCGAGGTTGATCAATGGTAACGCGTCTTACATCCTGCTTAAGCTGAATGCGGTGTACACCAAGTGGAAAATGTCCGAGAAACTGCTTAAAAACTTTGGATAACCTTCATACAAGTGCGTTCCATTGACGGAAGAGAGAAGCATGCGGCCAATGGATGGCCCTAAGTTCAGAGACACCATGACATTCCCTGCTAGCAAGGGTCCTTTTTTGTCGGAAGTAATCTACACCGCAACATCCACAACTACAGCTATAAAGGCATACTAATGATTCCCAATATATTCAAGGTATTTCTATTGTAACTCAAAAGCGAATGCTACGTGGGCTGTAAAGTATACCGGGATAGGTACTGCTCCTAAACTTGGAGATGTACACTGGTAACTACGGAAGCGGAAGCTATCTGGATTGCAAGTAGAACAGCACACTTAGGAGTAAGGAATTACGCAGTATAAATATCGGCGGAGGGGAACTTCGGTTAAACAGGGATATTGTTACACCACTTGAAGTGCTGGCATCAGTGGTAATTGGATAAATGTCTTCAGGAGCTGGAACTGCAACATGGTATTCGCATCAAGTAACATTTTGCTAATTGTGAGGGCCTACGACCGACAACACCTGGCTTGGTGCCAAGTTTTCGCACGATGTTCGAATTTAAGGCTGCGTGCGGGGCAAGCGGCAGACTTAACCTTGTTAGAACTACTTCCACAGCGACAGTAGGATGGTGTGTCTGCTGATAATTGTCAGAAAAATTCTACTTTTGCCACCTCAGTTAAGTTGCTTTAACAGAGCTGTTTTAACTTTTGTGAAATTTCTGTTCTCAATCTGGTTAACTCACTAGATCTATCTGACGTTAATACGCAAGTGTCTCCCTATAACAGCTTCTTACGTATACGGTTGTCAGCAATTCCAGAGATCAGCGGCAGAATGAGCATAGTCTTCGAATTTTGCTGGAGAATAGATGAATTGTCACCGTCGTACTGCACCATACAAGTGGTCAGTGAAATCGCTCAAAGGAAACGCAGCGAACTCATTCAGTTGGTTAATATAGGCACAATCTAGTGAGTTGAAAGCGTATTTGACCGATTTGCATTCTATTAGGTTGCTACAACTGCCCTTCTACTCTAGTAAATGTCGCAGCAGATCAACTCCGAAATATACCAAAAGGCCCACTAATCATTTATAACTCTGTTCTCCTCACTATGCGCATGATGCAGGTCACTGATTAACTTCAAATAGCTTTAGACGGAATTTTTCCAATGGAATTAGACATCCTATGTTTAACATGCTTTTCCAAACCAAAGCGTTTTGCAGACCAAACAGAGTGTTTTGAAAATAGATCTGGACATAAGCTATTTTTTATATTTAACAGTTAATCGCAGTGGGTTCTGTTCCACATAGCTGTCGAAGTCACAGCAGAAGCATAAGGGAGCGGTTTCGTTCCATCAGAACTTGTCAGTAGGGCGCAACCCTCGGATCCAGCAGTATCCAAACCCATTGTAGCTATGACTACGCAATGTCAGTTCCCTCTCCGGTTTTACCAGGTACTGCTCCGTGTGCTCCAGCTTCCAAATTAATCAAGTTCCCTTTCAAATAACCGATTCTCCAAACAAAATCGATCCTAGACCAATACTACTGTTATGATTTTGCTACCTGAAAGTCGAAGTTATTTTCATTGATCGGTTTTGAGTGACTCATCATTCCAGCGCTCCATGAGTTCTGCGTGCAGCCACAGAAATGCAAAGGCGATCCTATTGGTTGACGAACACGTATTACTATCGGTGAGATTGCACGGCCTGTCCATACACTGTTTACTCCCACTTACCTTTCTTATGAGCATGTCACTGTATTTTGAATCCCGACTTGCTCTTGCGTGTTGCACTGAAAAAGCAAATATTGGAACATTTTACTTTGGAAATCGTTGAGGTACTGTCCGTTTTGATACGATTATCTTGTCCAGTAGCACCTTTATCTCGGTTCAGACTTAGTTCTTGTTGAATTCCCAGCGTGAACGCTTTGTTTCAATTTCTAAGCCCTTTTGGCGCTTTCACCCATGACTGCTTCCGAATGCGCTACCAGCTAAGAAGCTTATCCTACCGAGCCGTTTGGGTCGGCAGCGTATTCTCATGATTTGCAGACTAATTACGATATGATACGTCTTATCCTCTACTTCCATGCATGTTCCGAATGTTAAGCCCAAAATACGCTAGTTTCACTGATAATAGCTATGTACGACCGAATTTAGAAGATTTACTGCAAACCGTTCGATGAACGTATAAGTGAGGTAGTTCCGACTTAATCGATGGAAGATTCATCGCAACAGCTTTCAGAACATCATTAATTTGTGAAAAAAGGTAGCAGAAATAAAGCGAGTGCGTTGTGTTCAAGCCATACTGCAATCAGGTAAATGCAACGTATAGCACTGCAAGAAGTAGGATCTAGTGTATGCCCTGGTCTTGATCGTATGTCTTTCACCTATGGCAAAGGCGGTGACAAAGTTGATTTCCATGTCTCCACATCAGCCTTGGGTAGTACATGCAGGCATATGAAATTTTGCAGCTGCTAGACTAATGGAAAGTCGGATGCCCGAGAGTATTCAATCCATATTCGCAAAGTGTGTATGTTCATCCAACAAAAGGTAGGCGAGCGAATGTCGCCTTACGTAAATTCAAAAGGCGCATTGTAACGTTGCTTTATCAATTAAAACCCAAAGCATTGATCATGCGAAGGCCATTACCGACGGGACATACAGTGGTGCAAATGTTGCATTGTTTGTCGAAAAGCTTTTGGCGCGCACATGCTGCAGATCGAACATAAACGATGCAGCGTTGACTACGACTTTCGCCGGAAACCACATGCAGGACGATCTAAGAAGGATCTCGGAGTGGTCCCACTTCCTGAAGTTTCTATGATCTAAACCAGGCAGAAAAGTGTTTTCAAAGGTGAACGCGTATGCAAGATGCCTGCTGATTAAGAAGGCGCCTGTCTAGACGCAAATAGCAGTCATTCATGACAGCGTCGTTATGACAACGTGACGCATGTATTGCGTCCTCAGTGTGACGATGAATTTGACTAAGGTAGCAGCGGGACAGCTCTTACTCAACTGGCCATCTTCAATGTTATCACTTCCGTGTTTGTAAATGCATTGTCGATGTTCTGTCTAAAAATAAACTACGTTTGGTTTTATTTGCAAAATGCCTAAGCTGGTTCGTACGTAGTTCAATCTGGTTTGGAAAACGTCAAAATTAAAAGGATAATGTTACATCTTGCGTGCGATTAGAGACGCAAACTACTCATGAGTAGTACATTGTAAGGCTAGTTACCATTCGTTCAGTTAGTAAGATCATGCACACGTTCACAATGCTTGCAAATACCTAGATGTGCTTCCATGACATAAGTTCGTGACGTGAAACGCATAGTCTCCATATCCTGGTGGTACACTATGGATACGCCATGCATCTTGGGGTAACCTGCCAATCTCTTATCCTTATGCACCATGACAAGTTGAACGGCATAAATATTCTACTTCAACCAAGTGCAGTATGACAAAAAGAAAAGCTACAGTTATATGACGTACTTTTATTCGTTTAGCGAGACTATATCATAACCTCAAGAAAGACTAGAGGAGCAAGAAACTGGATTACATAAGATGCATCTCTATCCCAGCAATCCAAAGTAACAGATAAACAGAAGAAAGGAGTGCAGTTGTTGCCATCTTATTCATTCTGATCCACATTAGAGTTCTGGCTTGAATCCGGTTCGTCCTGACCCTGAGGTATTTTATCCATAGCGCGAGGCCTTTCATCAGCGGCGTCGTGCACAGGTGTCCAGATTTCTCGGTGTGCAGCTTCCAGAAATTTGCGTTCTCTTGCAGCCAACAAGGCTCGATGGGCTCGCTTGTTCACCTGAAAACAGTTTACATAAAATGTTATAGTAAAGTAGGCACTATTTACATCGGTGGGGATCTGCGGATGTAGGATAGTGATTGGTGCACGCAAACTAAGCTAATGTGTTGGTGACCCTAGGAAAAACCTGGTCATCATAGCGCAATGTCAAGTTTGAACAGCTGCCCATTACTTAGAGTAAGCCAACTATCTTATCAGTGTAGCTTCTGTATAGTCAAGCTACTGACCGTAACGGTATTTGATACTTTGCATAAACGAACCTACATAACTTGCAAGAAAACAATGAACTGCCTCTTACGTGAGCTGGCCGCAATCACAAGGGCCTAGGGACCAGTTTCCTCCAGACAATAAAGAAGAACGTCAAGCGCACATCAGGAATCTCGACTAAACTGCCGGAGCCAACTCGAGACGAGCACATAGGATGCGAACAACGTACCGCCGAGGCTAAGTGACGAGAATTGCGGCGCGCATGAACCAAGCCTAACGTGAGCCCGGACATGTAGAGAAGCGAACAAAGTGAACAGTGAACAATTAATTATAACTGGTAAAAACGATTGTTTGACGATTCCCGTAGGATGAAGACGTGAGATAATTTAAGATACATCAACACGAATCCGTCATTGAAAGCTAACAACGAAATGGCGCTCCGAATATAAGTGCGCTATAAATGCTTCTCTCTTTCCTGTGTAAAGCCCTGTGTATATTTGAGTCTCGCGAGTTGTCCTGGTAATAGAAAATACAAAAATATACGATTCCGGTCGCTTCTTTTAACTGCCGAGTATATCAGTTCCAACGGTTGGAGGCATTAGACCGACTGCAAAATCGTTTCAAAATTAAGGAATCAGCGATCTCCTTCTTTGCTGGATAGAAGACTTTCTCGTTCAGCGTCACTTAAATGTAAGTGTCCGCAGGGTCTTATCCGAACCAATCGAACTCCTGTGCTGCGTAATTCAGGATTTGGTACAGGATCCCGTCTGTCCTATAAATGAATTCGCGTGCGCTATCTTCAGGGTTCCTACTATTAGTCGATTATCTAAATATATGGATCACCTAGCCCTACAAGATGATCTGGATAAAGCATATACATGATCCATAGATAACATGCTGCAGTTTAACGCGGTCATGTGCCAAATTCGGAGTTTGCGCCGTAACAGTATTCGCAACCACCATTTAGGGCAACAAATGTTACAGCGGGCTTCTCCGAAGTATGATCTCTGTGTGTTTGTGCAAAATGACCTTGGTGGCTATAGTCAGACTGAAAACGCATCGAGGAAAGCAAATCAGCAATTAGGTCTCTTTCGTAGGACGGTCAGAAAGTTTGGCACCTCAGTCTTATAGAAAATATTTAGTGCATACTTGTGGCCGTACGCAGAGTGCGTGATAGAAACGTAGCAACTCAGTCAAAAGCACCGCATTACCGCGCTTGATACGGCTTAATGCAGGGGATGAAAAATTCAGAGATCTGTCCCGCTTCGTTATTTACCCAGACTAAGAACTCACAAAATGTGCAGCGTCCTTTATCGGCATCTATGTGGCGATCTAGTTATGTTGTAGCAGATCCTACAAAACCTCATCCAAGCTCGCCACTGTAACTCAGCCAAAACACATATCTAAGGCGTCACCAGTGTTACTTATCCACGCCGTACGACCGGCTGGAATGAAGACGAAACCTTCTGCTTCCGAGGGTCAGAGGCTTGGAATGCCTTCCAGGAGCATGCAACTAATGCTTCCACATGTCCCCTGTCTGAAATATGTCTCGACAATACCCTGTCACAATTACACTATGTGATATGGCACAATGGAGCAGAACAAGCATTGGACTGTGTCATAATCCTACTAAACTCTATGAAGGATACTCACACATGTGCTACTCGAAACCTCTTGGTGAGTCAGGTATCTCGGGAGAATAATTTCATAGTACTCATGAGTAGCAGGATTTTAGTTATAAATCTGATTAGGCTTTCATCCCAATAGTTCACAAGGTACATGGCAGAGCCTAGTCCGGAAAAGCGCCAGACGCGTTTCGCCCTATTGGGGCTCGTCAGTGGCGCGCATTCCCTCGGTCCTCTAAGGAGGATCGAACCTATGACCGCTAGAGACAGATACCAACTAGCCGTCAACTAAGCCACTGAGCCATGGGAGACGTTGGCTGGGCTACGTAATTTGCGAACAAACTGGGATATAGCACCACCTATCTACCACTGTCACTGACAGTGGTTAGCCTGCAAGGTGATGACGCCCTCTCACTAGACGCTATATCCATAGCCTTTGAAACTAGTTCGCAAATTATGTAGCCCAGCCAACATCCCCCATGGCTCAGTGGCTTAAGCTGCTGGCTAGCTGGCATCTACTTCTAGTGGTCATGGGTTCGATCCTCCTTAGAGGATCGAAGGAATGCGCGCCACTGACGAGCCCCAATAGGGCGATACGCGTCTGGCGCTTTTCCGGACTAGGCTCTGCTATGTAGCTTGTGAACTATTGGCCTGAAAGCCTAATCAGAATAATTTCACTCTAACCATCTAACGGGACTTGACAAATATTTACTATTATTCCCGTTATAAGCTATTGCTCCTTTTCTCCTCTTTAGCTGAGAGAAAGGTCGCTGTGGGATGACTAGGTGACGCTCAATTTGAGGTGTATTGACTCTGTGACGAGTCTATTCAATGTACGTTTCGCATGTAGTCAAGTGGGTGTATTTACTGAATTTTACCATAACTACCTTTGATGAACTAAAATGACACCAATAAAAATGTGAACATAATGGCGCTGGGTACACTGTCGTCACTTGTACCTACAGTTCCGAATCTGCACTATTGATTGTGCATCCCGTTGATGGCCACCAGTTTAGTGTCTGTTTCCACGGCACATCGGTATGTTGTATAAGAGCACACTATTTACGCTAAACTGAGGAGATTACTGAAAAGTATGTAACTCAGCGGTGGAAATCGATAAAAGAGATTCTGGTGGTGGTCAATAGACTCGGCGATTGTTGCAACGGTCAGTCAAGTGAAACGTACCCTAGTTACATATTTGGATGGAAATCAGTCAGCAGATTGGCATTGACTATGGTCAAATTTCCATCTCGCGGTGGCCAATTTATCGGTTATTCCAGTCTAACTGACAGATGATAAGATCCATCCCTCTACTAATAGCCAGTGGTTCTAGAAAGTCCTAGATCAGCAGAAAATTCCGCTCACAAATATAAGGATATTATAAGTGAAAAACACTACAATTATGATGTACTCCAATGCAGCATTCAATGAAAAATATATGAGCACTTCACTGACAGCTTAAATACGATGCCGGCACCATGGCATTTTAGAGTCAGTTAATTTAACAAGTCCTTACAAGAAAGCTTCTATAGAGGTTTTTATATACCTTCACGATTTGCTTGGTCTGTACAACCACTATGTAATCCTGTGGTTGCAATGGATCACACAGTCGGATTATAAAACATAGTGGGTTCACGGCCCAAATTGTTGGCGAAATGTATCCTACTTGTGTAACACAGGTGGACGCTTTACAGGCTTTGAGTACCGTACTACTGCAGCACACCCGCAGCCTGCGCGTTGAGTGGCAGCTACTTGATGTCGGAACAGTTTAGAAAAACACACGGTCTTGTCAAACTGGTGCAGCACTGATGGGCATTCATTTCACGAGTGTTCGACTCACACAGCGTTTTCCTGCTAAACATGACATCACACATTTAGATTCGGTTATTACTTTGAGTCATATGGCAGTGCAATTTGAAATATGAACGAAGGGCGTAATATGCTATTTACATACTGTGATATGTGTATTAAATTTATTTCTGTTCCAAGTATTAGATATTCAGCTTACAATGAAACCATCTTGGTCAGTCTACATAGACCCAAAGCAATGGAATAGCCAACAGGAATTCGTCAAATGTAACGGGCCCAAGCATGAACGGTACGGTACTAAATATATGGTGTCAAGTCAAGTTAAACTAAGCACTGTACATCAAGTTGGACACTTTCTCAGCAACACGCTGTCATTGCCGAAATAGCATATAAATGAAACAAGCTAAATTAATAAGGGAAAATGGAGAGGGTAAATTCTTACTCAAGCGTACGGTAAATACTAGTGCTGTAGTCATGTTGTTCAAAGGGTAGCAATCAGAGCAACGAGACGGCTTTACGTGACTTAGCAAGCAGGTAGAAGGTAGCAAAGGGACAGTGCAGATGATTGGACGTATTAGTGTCTCCACATCCACGCTGATTGGTTAGTTTTGGCGGTGCTAAAATTTGTTTGGTTAAATCAAAGAAGTAATCTTGTGAATGCAGCAGCGCCCTTTAGTCATGGAAGCGGAGTACATATATAAATCGAGGCTACCTGTAAGTCAATTACGTCGACGTTTTCATCGGGAGTACTTTGGTGACTAAACAGTTTGTAACTGAATGACCGTGTTCGGCGATATCTATGTGCAGCTAGCTTCCTAAATGCACTGATTTTGGGGCACAGGAAACCACAGAGATAGAAAATTCAGTGGAAGTCAGGAATTTTAAAGGATAAAGGGTTTAAAGGCAGAAGTTCGGTCTACTGAAACACGGTAAATAATAAGTATAGTTTCTGACATCTACAGACTACTGAGCTAGCGTCACGGCGAATTTCAACTGCTAATAATTAATTTCACTGTGACAACCCAAATGAAAAAGGCAATGGATTTCTTCGTAGTTGCATTACGATGTCATTCGATCTAGCGACCGGCAAACCACTCTGCACCGCACATGTGCTGTTTCGTAGAAAATAAGGCAAATCCCTGAAATATCCAATCTTTAAGTGAATCAACTGATCCCAGACATTAGGGAAAAAGATGAGCCTCTGGTGTTCATGCTCACTTTTATACTACGATACTCCTAACCTGTAGTTGAGACCGTTGTATCAGTGAATTGGAGAAGATTGTGCTTGGCTATCCCATTAATAAGGCACGATGACGCACAGGTATGCTACATCCGATATTATCTAAATTTTTAGGTATAAATTGCATTTTACGTGAACCTTTGCCTAGAGTAAGAGAAAACTTCGGAAGCTAAATGAGTTTTATATATCTTTACCGTAAGTGTTCAAATCCACAGCAATGTCATCCTATTTCAAACCATCGTAAATTGTTAATCAGTGGTGCTGTCAGTAATTACCGTAAAACGCTCATGATTTGTTATATGTAAGGATAATCGCTTTTCAACTGGGATGATTTTTCGATTTTCCCGAGAAGTATGTAATTGTTAACTTGTTTGTCAAACATGAACTATATAATATGTTATTCAGTTGATGTTGACGTACCTCAGGAATCAGGAAATTGTGCACCATATTGGCAGCGATTACGTCCGCTCGTCTTTGATCCATCGTTTCGATCGAGCTTTGAGCATCTGCGTCTAGCTGTCGTGCAACCTCATCTATTTCTGCGTGGGCTGTGGCACCAGCAGTTGTCTCCAAAACTATTCCTGCTACGGATGCCAGGTATCCGTCGACGGTTTCTTGATGTACTTTCATCAGCTAGGTGGGACAAATTAGATATTGCATAAAGGAAAAACTATACAGCAAGCCCGATCTTGGTTCGACTAACGACTACGCGGTTTAAAGGACAAAACTGTCTCTCAACTGCTGTTTGGTTGTTCCGGACCGTGTCCATGTTCGCTGTCCACCCAGACTGATACGAAGATCTCAGAATATCCGCGCAGCCGTAGTCCAGATGTAGATCGCTACCCGCTGAATGCAGCCAGTTGATAGACACATAAGAAAAGGTCGTGGGGGGGTCTCATTCGAAGGATTGAGTTTGGCTGACAATCATTTACCCCATTAAGCTTCATGGCTAACAGACTCCGGATGCATTAGATAAAGAATAAGTGCAATAACTCGCTCAGATACTTTATCAGGGCAGCAACTTTTCAGATGACGGTAAAAACGGGAAAGCACCTGAAGTCTACTTGACCAACGTGTAGGTGCAAAAGCAGGTTATTATGACATCAGTTGCCCGCAATTTTGAAGGAAACGCCAAATCCATCAACTTGGTGAAATAGGTTAGTCTGTGAACGCTGAAAGCCAAAGTATGCTTATCAGTCATAGAAATGCTACACACTGACATAAACATTTGGTTACTGAAAATAAGTATCAGAACATACGTCAACTCTCATCTAAATTAACTGGAAGATCGCAAGAGAATAAGTCCACTTTCTGGCGGTGATTGGACAGCTACATGCAGTCTCAAATTGAATCACGGGTTATTTCAAGGGAATCTGGAATAATTCCGCCACTGGGGACATGTAAAACCCACTACTATATCTTTATCTGACTGTGCTTCAGATGGGGTCACAGTGGCCCTACTGACCGAGCTCCATTCAAGTGGCTTCTTGTGCAAATCTGTAGTGTGGGTCGCCGTTTACTGACACAAGAGAGGCTTCAAAATGACTTCGCGAACTGCTGTGATAAGCCATGCGTGCCGAACTGAGTAGGAGTGTTGAAATCGCCAGCCGTCAAAGCAAACGGTCCACGTTCATTCGCCTCTAGGTAAAAGACACAGACGCATACGAAACCAGACAGTTGTGCGTCTGCTCTGTAGGACACGGTTTCAAGCGTATCTGTCTTACTGCTACTTGACGCTGTGTTACTAATAATTTGGGCGACTTTTGATAAAATCTTACTGAGTAGTTCCAGCTGCTTACAAGCCATATAGTCTAACTCCTATCGGGAAACGCTCCAGAGAGTCGTTCGGCTCTGCAGAGGCTGGTCAGTGGTGCGCAACCCCTCGGTCCCGTGCAGATAACCGGTCCCAAGACGTTTGGTATCTTACGCCCACTAGGTAGCTTCATATGCCAATTGAGCTATGGGGAACGGTAGTAGATCATCACAACTTGGCGGCCGTACCTTATCTCAGTGACGTGCCCCAAAAAATTTGAAATCAAATTGATTTCGCTCACTGCGAATTCGACTTTGAACCGCGCGGAGGCGATCAGATGAAGTACTGCTGAGGTCCGGCTTTCATGAATTATGCTCAGTGTGTTATGCGTTATTGCGTTTTATCCGATTGGTAGGTAATACTTTCAGAGGTGCACACATCACCACGGTTTTTTGATGTGCAAGAATATAATTCAATAAAATCGACCCAAGATCGAGAGCAGTCAGTAGATAAACCATAAATTCAGATTCAAAAGAATCTGATAGCTCTCATCAAAGGGCAATATCGTAAAAGTGATCATCCTGAGACAAACGGTTATTCAAAGAATGGGGTTAATTGACAATGACAACAAATGTTTTCAATCTGTACTGTACAACCGCTTCATCTATTGACTACTTATCCCGGTCGATGTGCGTTGGGTCACTGTCGGCCGGCGGCCGAATGGATTGCATGCCGGGTTGCAATACTTAGGTACCGGTCCGAATGCGCGTAGGTGCGGGCGTCCTAATGGTAGAGACGGCCCACGCGCGAGCAGTATTGGTCGCGGGGCAGCAAAGCTTTGGTACAGTGTGACGGCGTACTGTTGATGACTTTCACTTCTTTTGACCTTGGTTCACTTGAATAAACAACTCACTGAAGCACCATGAAATGGTCACCATTCAACGGAGCCGCATAGAAAAGCGACTAAGAGTCCAGTGACTACGCTGCTCAGGTCTACATCTGCCTGTCTACCTGGTTCGTCCCTCGAATCAGTGATTCCAGAGCCAGCTAGTTGGTTATTTGAATTTGGAAAACAAACCGGGGTTTCAATGCCAGGCAGGTTGTGGTCAACAAGCTGGTAGCTGTTAGGCTGTAATCAGGATTTCTAATTACCGTTACTGAGTATAACCAGTTCGGTCCCTTCATTACGACACAGTGTGCTCCAGTTACATTACACTGCAGGCTTGCGTGCAAGAGAGAAGACGCGGTTAATCCGGAAAAAATCTTATGTCTCTATACGCAAAGTTTGAGAGTTGTGGGCACAAGCTGAGCATCCATTGTATTTTCGGCTGGTGGACACTATCATCTTAGTTGGCAGGAAAATCCTGGGTATTTTGAGGCGCCTGGTGGCTTTGGAAATCACTCTGAAGGCACGTCAGTGTGATTGGAACGCGACAACTTTAATATAGATAATGCTAGAAATATTTGGTTATGACCTAATCTGCCGATGTATTGCCGCACTGCTTCGCGTATGAGACTTCGACCATCTGTCTGCTCAAACACGCGACCAACCAGTCGAAGGAAACCAAAACCCAAGGCTCGTTAGACAGAATATATTCAACCGAATAGGTCACCTATATTTATTAACGAACCATACATACTGATTGGGGAAAGTATGGTCACCGAATGTTCGGCGTCTGGCCTTCAGTAAATGTAGGCGTGTTCCGTTCCACTGGTTTGCCATATCTGGCAGAATCATTCGCTTACGTGTTCGACTTCGCTCAAACCATCGACGCCGGCTGGAATTCGCTGGCCATTCAATTCTCGCCAGGTTCCCAAAATTGGTGGAATAGAGGCGAAGGCGATTTCACTTTCGTAAGCGTGACCTTCACATACAGCTGACTTATCACATCCTACCCGGCAAGCTGACGAGCATGGCAGCCTTGTGCATGGACCCTGAGTTCGCTTGCGTTTAGGTGATAGTGCTTAATCCAAATCAAATGCGCCGCTATCTTCAGGAGCTCAGTAGTAACGCAAGTTTGAGAGGCTGTTTCATAAAACCGAGGAGTTAGCGCAGCAGCTTAAAGCAACTTGGATTTTTATGACTAGACGGATTAAGTGCGATATATTTCGTTCATCGCAATTAGGTTACACGCCTCAAAGGGCAACTAAGGATACGGAAAAGCACCAGCTGATCGGTACCTCCTATTGGGTATCGTCAGTGGTGCGTATCTTTTCGTCCCCTGCTGGGGGGGGGGGGGCAAACTATGACCGCAGGTGGATTCCACCAGTGTTCAGCAGCTCATGGCATTGAGCCATGTGGAACGGAGCGGACCAATATAGGTTGAAATATAACTACAATATAGCCCGATCCACAATCCACTCTAGACACTTCATTTCTGTTCGTGTGTCCTACCTCCAAAACATAGTCCCCGAAGCCGTCGTTTCCGCGTTACGCCATGTTGCAAAAGCCACTGGACGAAGAAAGGTCGACTATGGCTCCCCACACAAAACTGTCTTGAAAATGGTTACTGGTTTCCTTATCCGGTATCGACTAGTGTTGTAATCAGGCCGGTGGGACATGTAACGTCCATTTTGTCAACAGCCATCACCCTTCGCCTGGACCCACATTATTGCCCTAATTCCCCTTGAATTCACTCTGTTTGAACGTTCTACGCTTACCGCCCTGCATGACCCTTAGTCGTTTGTTTTCCATGCCCACCTTACATTGGTGACACCACCTGTCTCGCTACTTTCTTTGATGCATGCTCCACTTTATCGATCACTGCTTCGCACTTGTTCCATTTGCGTGTTACTATTGAGGTCAGGGTAGACCGGAGATTTTGTGGGGTGGACACACCACCCATCCGGCTGACATGTGCCCCTAACCTCAGGTCTTCAAACTGTGTCCCCCATTGAACCTGCTTGATGTGATTGGACTAGTGGCTGTTGGTTTCTTGATTAGCTCACTGGTGCATGTCTCGCATGTCATGTAACCGCGCTGGGTCATTTTGCTGACTGGACGACCGTATTGATGTCCTGTTCTTGTAACGGCCAACTGATTGTACTTCTCTTTGTTTGAGGACATTGTTGAAGTATGTTGTCACTTTGCTCTTTTACTCTTTGTATAATATCACCGTAGTTCAGCATCGACTGCGGCTTTTTTGTTTCTCCGGTGCCTACACACCAACTCCGATCCTTGTCGCTCATTGATCCCCTGTCGGAGGCCGCGAATCGGTGCCCTACGCGTTGTCCAACTATCCTAAGCGATTTTTGAAGCTTACATGACAAACCCATGCCACGTGTACCAACAATACAAAGCCTAAACTAAATGCGTCGTACAAAACGTAAACTAGAATATACGAATCAATTAACCTAGACTTAACGCATGGTATAGGCAGAAGAACAAACGAATAATCCGGTAATCGCGTTTCTATACGGAAACTTAAATATAGTATATGATTTACGAATAGATTTTGTAATCGTAGTGCATGAGGCCAGAAATTGTAAAACATGTGGCAGCGTGCGGGAATTTGGACAGTGTCACAGTGACACAATAATATGCATGACCTTTAAACTTTCAGAATATGTCAGTGAGCGAGAGTCAAAGAATGAATGTTCAGTATGGTAACCGATTATAGGACACAGTAAAAGCCATGTAAAACGGGTAGCATAATTAGGGAATAGAGATCCGTGTCCTCAAGTAAACACCAGCTTGGGGAATATAGTAAAGTTTGAACTTTACACCTCCGGTGGTTTCGTATTCTGGACAATGGGTTTCACGTCATCATTCTTTTCTTGCTGGTACGCCTCTAGCAGGCGTAGCTGTATGACGTCTTTTCCGAATACACCTTTGCTTATCCTCATCAGTGCTTGTCGAATTGACTGGTCTTTGCTCATG